ATGTGTGTACGGGATCTGGGTATCGTCTATGAATGACCCAGACCCCACCATCTCATGATTGTATGTGTGTGGAGTGATGCCATGTAGGTCAGTCTATGTCAGTCAGTTCGTTTATCAGACTTCCGCTGCATACATGCTCATCCTATATTGGTTGATCTTTGGTTCTGCCCATACTCATCGAAGTATGCAACATCAGGCCACTTCGATATAGGGAAGTGCCTGGCCGTGCAAGATTCATTCGGGCACTTGCGACTGCATGAGGCAGTGCTGCTGGAGCGAGTGCTCACATGCTGCTGCACTAGCGCAAGAGCCTGGGCGTCTGCGGGCATCTTTGGAAGCAGGGCGCTGCAAGGTGGCAGTGCCATAGCCAAGCCCTCCATAGTCGGGCTTGTCTTGGACGAAGGTCAGCGGGGGGGTATGGTGGTGGTCTTCGGGTGTGAAGACACATGGGTGGTTAAGACGGGGATGAGTAGAGAGGAAGAAGTGAGGAGGTGATGTGAAGGCACGCACCTGGTCTTCGTGGACGTCTACATGGTCAACATTTGCATGTACTTTGGTTGCTGCTGCTGACGTCAACTGGTTGCGTTGTCATTTCGTAGGCTGATAGGATAGTTGTAGGATCGTCGTCTGAGCGCTGAGCGCTAGTAGGATGAAGATCTTCGATTGCATTGTTGGTAGCGGCAAGAGTATGCTTTCATTGACAATTGGGTCTGATGCTTTGGTTCTCGTTCGGTGTAACAGCGGACAGTTTTCCACTATCTGGCATTCGGAGTGATTTGCACTCTGGAATTCTGTAATTTCACTGTTGCTCGTTTTCCTTGGACAGAGATGCAGAAAAGCAGAGCAATTCCCATTTTCTGCACCTGTCCTGAAACACATCCAGATTCAGGTGTTACATCCAATCCTCTTTGCAATCCATAGTCAGACTCTGCCCCTGGGTTGGAGTCTGTGTTGCACTTTTATAAACAGGGTCCAGCATCCCAGATTCAAAGGCAAAGATCCTAACATATCAATAAGCTCAATCACGTTCACCTCTTGACATAGCTGATTACTTCCATAATAAGGGCATACTCACGCTCGGGTTTTCCTGCATGTACCTGACCAGAATCCACCTTGACCTGGACATATCTGACCATAATTTCGTCCAGAGCTCATTCGAAATGGGCGCAGCGTTGATTGTTACAGCCTTGGCGCAGCCTATTTATTTTGGTGGGATGTGCTCAATTAAGAGAAACATTTCAACTCGATCGCACTATTCCGACGTAGTTTTTAGTCCAAGGGGTTGGTTACATTTGGTCATCTTTGCTTTGCACTTCTTTTCTTTTTTGGTCACATACGGTATGGGGCTCGAACAAATGGGGCATGCAGCCAAACTCGTGAATGGCTACCTGGGCACGCAATGTTATATGCTCTAATTAAGGATTAAGGCCATTCTCACACTAAGACTATGGGGCTCGTTAGACACTCCTCGGGCGCGTAAATCCCCCGAGGAAAATTTCGTTTCACCTATCCTCGGGGATGAAAACGAAAAAAAAAATTGAAAACATTTCATCGGGGAATCCTCGGGGCGTCCTCAGGCTACAGCCATTTGGTGGCGTTCCCCAAGGGACCTCCCGAGGTCCCTCGGAGGTCAAGCATCCACGACAATCGGAGCGGCGACGGCACACATCGTCGACAACAAAATGTTTGTCGGCTGGTCCATTGGAGTGCCTACCGGCCACCGCACGGACATCTTGGGTCGTCAACATTCGGCTTCAAGGAACCTTCCGCCAACAGTAACCGTTGGTGGCCAATCAGACTCCGCAACGTCCCCAACCCATGTTCTCCCTCGCCGTGCATGAACCGAGGTGGAAAGGGGTCCAACAGTTGGCAAATTTAAATACTTCAGCAGCCCCCCCTGCTCCAATTGCCCACTGTATTCCGCGACGGAAAACATTACAAGCCGTTTGTCCCATGCTGAGGTCTGCCGTTTGCAGCCCTCCTCGTCGTCGTTTGCTGGAGGTGTACCGTCGTCGTCTAGCTACTTCCCTTCTCCACGTGCCTTTCATGGACGACGTCTTTTGAAGGCTGCCACTGCTGCTCCCGGTCATCATTTTGCTCGTTTTTGTCGTCTTCTTCCACGTCTGCATCCTCGGAAGGGTGCCTGGACGTACACGTAAGAGGCGGTCTGCAAAGAAGGACGTTGGCATGGACGGGCGGCAGGCGAAGAGCAGGTCTTCAATGGACCATTCCAAAAGCCATCGTGCAGGCCACGGCCCGGCTCGTAGTGCAAGGGCGTACGACCAGTCTGCGTACGCGCACCTACCACCGCACGAACAACCTCTGCCCGATACGACAGATGAGGAGGAGGAGGAAACACGATCACGAACCATGGCGCTGGGAAGCGGCTCCACCCAAGAGTGGGCGGGAAGCCAATTGTATGGGAGCCATGAGAGCACGTATCTGCAGTCGTACGCCGAACTCCTGCAAGAGGGCCTGCACGACAACGATGTCGATAGCGGCGTGAATCTGTCATTCGGGCCCTCTAGCGAGAGCTCGCCGGCTGCCACATGGACAGTTCTCGTAAAATCGCACCCTGACAACGACGTTGGGCAAGTGACGGCGGTCAGCAGATCTGCAAAGGGTTCATCTGAAGGATGGGAGGCATCGGATAATAGAAAGGATCCTTCGAGACTGCAGTCGTTGTCACCATCAACAACACTTGTTGCCTGCGGTTGTCCACAGTGGATGAGGTCTCCGTTTCCGTTGTCGGGAGGTTCCAGCACGGGCCGCCGTGCACCTGAGTGCGGGGCGACAGACGCTGACTTCACGGGCGTGGGCTACGAATGGGATGGGAGGTAGGTGTGGGCGGAACAGCGGCAGGAGCTGCGTGGGCAGCAAGAGGAGTGGATAACTCGGGGGGTGCAGCGACTGCACGTGGGGGAGCAGGACGCGGAGAAGGAGCCACCAGTGTTGGACGCCGACGATTACGGGGACGTCGACAACGACGACGAATGGCAGGTTGACGGCGCCGGGTACGTTTCGCCGTTCAAGAATAAATACATGGGCTGTCGGGGCAGGAACAACACGGCATTTGCTTTCATGAAGGGTCGTCGGGGGAAAAAAGTGGCGCCTGCGGGAAGCGAGGTTGAAGGTGAGGCGGAAGCGGAGGGCGGGCGGAACTTCTGGTCAGTCCAACACATGGTCGCCCTCATCAGGGCGAAGCAGGACCAGGAAGCACATCTATAGGGGATGGGCCACGCGTACGCTCGCATGAAGCCAAGGGAATGGAAGTGGGCACCACAGGTTGAAGAAGGTGGGCGTTGACAGATAAGCAGACAAGTGCGGGAAGAAGTGGGACAACTTGATGCAGCAGTTCAAGAAGGTGCACCAATTCCAAAGCGAGTCCGGGAAACAGGACTTCTTTCAATTGATGAGGAAGGAGAGGTTAATGCATGGGTTCAATTTCACCATGGTCGGGCCGTGTATAAGGAGATCAAGGGGTCGACCGCGAACAGTCACACCATACACCCGAAGAATGTCGCTGACACGGGCAGTGCAGGTGGTGTGCAGCTGGCACCGGTTCTTCTCGCGGTCCTGAATCTGTGGCTGATGGAGATGCAGGTGGCAACAGCAACAAAGAAGACGATAGCTCCACGGAAGGTTCTTCACCGACGACGGGTAGCCCTGGCGGGTTCCGCAAGAGGAATAATATGAGGCAGCAGACTTTTGAGGCCCTGACGGAGTGCATGGAGAAGCACGGGACACTAATGGCGACAACGATGAAGAGCGCTAGCAAGAGGCAGTGCTCCATCCAAATGTGGTTGTGCGAAGCGTTGGATGTGGAGGTTGAGGTGAAGAAAAAGCACTACTCGACGTCGGACAAAGTGGGCAAGCTGATGTGCCATGCACTGATGGAGAGCGAAAGCTATTTGGGAGCGGTAGACGAGGGGCTCTTGCTCGGGCGGACGGAGATGTGGGACCGGCTGCCTGGCCTTCCCCGAACGCTTCGACGTCTGTCCACGTGGACGCCATGCCATTCCTCGTCCTGATGTCCACGAACGAGAGAGTGCCCCTTCCTGAGCATGTCGTCATGGCCGCCTGCTTGCCGTTACTGGGGTGGTGCCGCGCAACGTTGCTCGTGTTGCACGCTTGTGTTCAATTTTTTTTTTTGGATTTTTGGATTTTTGAATTTTTTTTGTATTTTTTTGTATTTTTTTGTAGTTTTCTGTATTTGTAATTTGTAATGCAGATGAGCGTTAATGTTTATTTCGAACTGCAACACACGAGTGCATTTCTTTTCTTTAATTATTTGCAGATTGTTTTTTTTGTTTTAATTACGTGTGTGTTACTTTACTTTGTTTTTTTTGTTTTAATTACGTGTGTGTTACTTTACTAGTCTCGGTTCGTCCAATGTCTACCTTTCTCTCTCTCTCTCTCTCTCTCTCTCTCTCTCTCTCTCTCTCTCTCTCTCTCTCTCTCTCTCTCTCTCTCATTGCTAGTATGGCACTGAGGACATTGCGTTTTTGGGGTGTGTGTGTGAGAACAATTAATGATATGAACGGCAAGTGGGGGAAGTCTGTTTCGGCGGAGTCTAGTGCAATTACGCCATGTATTTCACTTTCACCACAATATGGTTGCGGTGTCGAGCGCTTGGATGCCCACGTCGTGTGTAATGACATACCAAACAGTCGGAAAATGGTTGTTGCTGCTTAAAGGTGTCATTTTTAATGTTGTACTCCTTTGTAATATGAATGTCCAGAAATTTCGCAAATTACCAACCTGGGAATTCATGCGCACCTTCAGACTACAAAACTTTTGTGTTCATCTAATGTCTTCTAAAATTACACATTGGTTGGAAATGGATACCTTATGTAATTACACATCTGATAGAATTCCCAAACGTAGGCCACAACAAATGTGCGTGAGTGCATTTTCAGTCTTGTTGTCTGATGTGGCGGGGTGGTCGGGATCGAGGGTGGGCGGTGGTGTTCGGGGTTCGATTTGGATGGTGTGCGGGGGTACATGCCCTGTTCCGGTCGAGGAGGGGGGCAGGGGGGGGGGAAGTTGAAGGTTTGTTGCCTGTTTTCGTGGGGGTGTTAGGGGTAGTAATGGGGGTGGCTGCACAGAGGGGGTCGGGTGCGCATGGCACCCTCCGGGGTCCGTTAGCCTTGGAGAGTGAAGAACGCCTTCGAAGGTTGACGGCAGGGGACCAGGCGACTAGCAGGGTATGCACGTTGTCGGAGGGCGCGGTGTCCCGGCCCTCCTCTGCGTACCAAGTCTCTGCTTGGTGCTGGTCCCCTGCTCTGACATCGCAGCATGTAGGTATGTTCTCGAACTATGATCTCTAGTACCCGGGGCCGTACCTTGACGTGGACCGGTCCTGTTGGTGCCTGCCTCGGCAAAAGGGTGCGCCGCAGGGCTTTCCTTTGGTCCCCGCAGGCTCGGTGCCCTGCTGTACAGCGGAGCACAACCGGCCTGTAGTCGTGGTAGCCGTCGGGCTCGCCCTGGGACGCGGAGATAGAGGGTCTGCCGTGGGCTTTTCTACTGCGCGCCAAGTATCCTTTCACCAGGTTATGGGTTGGATGCTTGGAACCGTGGCCACATTCCGGAAATTGGAATGTGAAAAGAAAAAAAAAGAGTGAAAAGAAATCTAGAGGTTGAATCCTTGCGACTAAACTGCCAGCCTTAATTCGGAGAAATCTGACAGCCACTGGTCACCTTGTCGTTACGTCTTTCATTCCTTTCTTTACTATTATTATTATTATAATTATTATTCTACTGTTTTTTTTTTCAGACATGGTTTCCCTTTCTTTTCATTTTTTCTGATCTCTGTCACTTCGTAGTGGAGGCCGACGGTTCAAATTTTGGACTGTGACTACTGTCTGATGGCCTAGGCTGGCCCGACCCCTCGTAAATCGCCTGTGCCAGAGCTGTTTGGTTGAGCGTCGCGCAGTAAGGCCCCAAAAGAGGGGCGACCCGCGACCGCATTGGTAGGAAACTTATCACCCTCTTTGGAAGGTCATAAGCCCCCTCCTTGCCATCGGACACGGGTACCCATCTGGAGTAGTCCAACGCCCTATTTTTGAAAGGCGGAAAATGACCGCTCGTATCCCATTATGGGACGCAGTTTTTGGATTGTAGTTACATCACAAGGGTTAGTGGCTGATAGTTGCGAAGTAGGCTCTGCAGTGTTTCGACCGTTGAGTTTCGATCATTCGTTTTTTTTTTTTTTTTTTTTTTAGTTATTTAGTTCTACTTTGTTTTATTAATTTTGGGAGCGTTAAAACTATTAATGTGAAGAATCTGGGGGATATCAATTTGAATTCTTCTTTAAAAACGCGGGGATCATAGTGAGAGGCAAGCCTATAAAGGGTGAGACAGATGAGTCTTGGCTGTGAGCAGGTAGCAGCGAGCAGCCCATTCTTCTGTGCTGACGTTGTCGGCCTGGGAAAAGTGAGTGGGTCTGCTTTTGAGTACCGAGCTGAGTTTTCTGGTTAGCGACTATGTCACGTAGCAATGGCCTTTTTGGCTATAGGCCAAGGCACTTGAAGTTTTACTGGAGCTGGGCGCCTATGCGTGAAGAGGGAGTTACGATGGATGTCTGTCTGAGTTATAGCAAGAGTGAAGGGCAAGCAGACTAAGAATCAATGTCTACGGGGAAAAGGAGCAAGAGATGAGGGAAGATGCAAAAATACAGGGTGTGGTCACCGAGGCTCGTAGCAGGGCGGAACGAAGATGCCGACGAGATGGGGTGACCGCGGCGTTGCGAGTTACTGTTACCTACCATGAGGAGGAGACCTCCACGAGCACGACCGAGAGGGAGCAACACTAACTGGATCGGGACTTAGAGGCGGAGTCCGAAGCTAGCGAGGACCTGACCCAGTCCTGGCACGGGTTGGAGCAGTGGAGGAGAGAGCACCCGCCAGCTAAGTCGGTAGAGGACGGACCCGAGGCCAGTTCGGCCCAAGGCAGAGCAAGGCCGACAGAGGCTAGACCATCGAGCGCGGAGGCGAGTAATAGGCGGGACTGAACCTGAGAGAGGCGGGATATACCCGGGCGACAGGTGGACGTTCTGAGGGGCGTGAGAGAGAAGGGGCTCAGAGGTCAACACGTGCAGGCGAGTCTCAAAGAGGGGCACGCGAACTTGTGAGGTGCTGTTGACATCAACTGTTGCCTCAACGTTCGCATCTGAGGTTTTGAGCCTGCGGAACTTGAAGAGAGCGATCTGGAAGTCAACTTGAGGTGACGAAGAGACCAGCGCTGTTAGAAGAGAAGTGCGAGTGGACGCGAGGAAAAGGAACTGCCATGTGGTTGACGTCATCGCTGATGGAAGGGCGAGCAGCCAGGATTGAGGGAGAGAGGATGTATGTGAGAGAAGAGGGAGACACACATAACATTTATGTTCAAGGATGGAAGAGGAGCGAGGTACACGGGTTAATGCGTGTCGACCTGTCTTTAAATGAAAAATAAGCAACTACAAGAGAGCGGGTAAGCGCCATCAGGGAAGAGTGAAGGTCAGTTTTAGCAGAAGCCGACTGGGTCGCCTCCACAGTGAAGGTTGTCCGGTGATTGCAACCGCCAGTGGCATACCGGTTCTCAATCTACGTGCTCAGACATTGCTCTCTCCCTATCTTCATCGTGATAGAGGCAAGCGCCCATCTGTGATGATATCGCGACTCTCACTATACCCTTCTCGAGATGAGTATGTAGAGGAGAAGTCTGTGCGAGCGCTTCGGATGACCCATGCATGATTCGAGCGGAGAAGAAGCCGCGCAAAAAGAAACGAGGTTGCTCTAGAAGAGTGAGAAAAGCAGGCGTGTCCTGCATAGCCTGTAAAGGGCTTGGCACGGTGTTGCACTAATCATCTTACGCTAGGGGAAGGTGCCAAAGGAGGGGGTCGTGCCCTTTAAATTTTGGTTGACGATGGCTATTCTTGTGCGTGATTTGGTTAGCGGGATGCAATGGGGTGACAGTGGCACACCGGGAGACGAGAGTCTAGCGGTTGCGCACTGGGCAGTGGTCTCGAGATTCTGCCCCACCCTTTGTGGAAGCATGAGTACGCAAGTGTTCATTCATCAATGTCTTTTCAGAATGGATGCGTGACAACCACCCTTGTCTTGATTTGGTACTGTGTAAGCAAGCCTTGTGGTAGATACTGGTAAAGATGGTGAAGATGGGCAACTGTGCTAAGTGCGAGTTACAGACGAGCCTTTGTTAGGTTGAGTGAGAAACGTCCGTCCAGTGAATATGAGCAGAATAACTGCGTTTGTGGCAACGACTGTGAGGTAACATGGCTACTTCATACATTTGATCATGTGTAAGAGATAAGTGACAACATATGAGAAACGTCAATCTGAACCGAGGACTAAGGTACGTGCTAACTACGATGGTCGATTCCAACGGATAAGAGTCTACAGGATCGAATGGGTGCAAGAATTTCGCGGGCGTCTGTCAAAGTTTGATTGATTTTGAGAGGTTGCTTTGGTCATGAACAGGACCATGTTACCTGATCGTGTGCGCTGTTGTCGTTCTGCTGAGTCGTCGTGAGAGAGAAAGGGGACTCTTCGGAACGAGTGCAGTCGGTCGTTAGAATGCGACCCAATTTCGTCTTAGTACATTGGGTTTCTCTGAGAAGTGTTAAATGTAGCGTTTACTGTTGTCCCTTTTCATGTGTGGTGAACGGTCAGACATCTTCTTACCTGTCCTGGCAAGTCTAAAGTTATCAAAGGTGTGTATCTCACGTGTGATGGATATGATCAGCAGGGACTATCTCAGATAGGAAAGGGAGAATAATCGTTGTTTGTCAGGGTGGTAATGGGTGAGCAATAGGGGTGAACGAATGAGCTTGTTACTGCGGAGCTCAGAGTCCTCTACTACACTCCCCTTCTGCCCTACTCTTTGTCCTAGTAATTAGGTGTGTCCCAACTGATGAGTTGCTTGAACTGGTGTCACCCGCAATTGACAAGAACATAGAGCAATGATGGGAAAAGTCTGACCCAATCAGGTGATAATTTTCACTGCTTGTATCCGATTTTTCAGAAGGGATAAAGACTCGTTGGTGTTTTCACCTTATTTGGTTGATGGGGAAAAAGAAAGTAATGCTGAAAAGAATCGCCTACCTTCTTGCAAAGTTTCTCTTTGATGGTAATTAAATTGTAACGCACCGACTCTGTCATACTAATGGTGGGTTCATAGATATATATACACATTCTCATGCGACGCGCAGACAAGGAACGTCGCACAGTGAAACTCATTCGTTGTGTACGGACGCGAAAGGGCGCTTGGTCAAACCCTTGTATCCTAAAGAGAACAGGGTCTGTGTAGGAGACCGGTTGTTGAAAGAGGACGGAGAACGAGTTGGGTGAAGTCCCGCTCCTGGCGAGAACGGGGTTTTAGCCTTTTGAATACTCACCTGTGTTGTGCTTATACATCGGTTACGTTTGATGCCTTATCGTGCATAGTGAGGGCGGGGTTCATGCTCGGTAGCCCAATGTTCTTAGGGTCCTGATTGCTGCTAGCTTGTCGGATCTAAACCAAACAGTTGCAGGTATTTTCGAACCTAGACAAAGGTGATGTCAGAGAGAGGAGTTGCTTGTACTATCCCAACAATAATGAGTCTTGAAAAGCTTCGGTGGGGATATAGGGAGAAATGTTCACTTGTAAATTTTCATAGTGTACTAGGCTGGAGCAGAGTTACCCGCGTCCAGAACGGAGTGAGGGCCTGAACGACCTTTCGGGTGGCAAGAATTGCAGGAGTGCACTTCGCAGCGTGCACGGAAACTGAACTCAGTTATGTGGTATGACCAACAGGTTAGCCTGGGCCGGAAGTCTAAGACTCTAAATCCCCTCAACATCGTTTCAAAAGGGTGGCATCTAAGGACACTTAACACTTTTAGCTGGTAAAGAAGTTCAGAGAAACACTCGTACGTGCTTCATAATCCCAAGCCAAAAGGGAAAAAAGGGAAGGCTGAGAAAAAGACATGGGAAGCAAGAACACCCTGTCTATGACCTGTGCCTTATATCGGGCAGAAACGGAAGGTTGGGAGGATAAGATACTGGGTGAGATTGAAAAACATAAGAAGTTGCTGAGAGAGATTGCCATGGAAAGGACAGAAAACCATCATAAGCTCATTGAATACATTTTCTACATCTACGAGCCATGTGGGAAACTGCATAGCACAGGCTCATCACTAGAGACTCTCGAGCAAGCCAAGGCAGAGCTCAAGTGAGCACGAGCGTGCTTGGACAACCGTCAATCAGTTTTCAGAACAGCAAGCAATCAGCTTTCAGAACAGTAGTCAATCAGTTTTCAGAACAGCAAGCAATCAACTTTTAGAACAGTAGTCAATCAACATTCAGGTGACAGTATTCAGAATCGGCATTCAGAAAACAGCGTTCAGAATCAGAATCAGCATTCAAAAAATAGTATTCAGAATCAGCATTCAGAAAACAGTATTCAGAATCAGCATTCAGAAAACAGTATTCAGAATCAACATTCAGAAAACAGCGTTCAGAATTAGCATTAAGAAGCAACATTCAGAAACAGCGTTCAGAAACAGCACTCGAAACAGTATTCAAAAGGCATTCAAGCAACACTCAAACAAGCGTCCAGAGGGTCGCCATTCCATTAGCAATTGACGTCTATTCAGTGGACAACGTTTGATTCGACCCGCAGCGGACGCCTGTCAATCAAAAACAGTCTCTTCTCCCTCTATCAGGGAGTAACTATTTATCCAAACATATGAGAGAGATCAACCCCTTCACAGTTGACCAGTCGGTCCTTGACAGCCTCAACCTGATTGCTGCCCGGGAGAGCTTCCCCTACAAGTATGTCAAGATTGATGGATTCAAGCGTGAAGATATGTCTATCTTCGTCGTTCTCACTGAGTTCGCTGAGGGTATAGTCAACGATCTATGGATCTTCCTGAAAAAGGGGAACGAGACACACCCCCATTTCGATGCAGTTTGGGCCGCGGCTGCCAGGTTCGTGCAATGGAAAGCCAAGAGCCCTACTATCTTACTGACGGCTCTTACTGGGGTGGACTGGTGGACTTGGCGTGTAGAGATCGACTACGTGGCAGTGACTGAACCCTCCGAGTTTCCACATCTAAGGAGGGGCATTTTCTCTCAGCCATATCACCCCACTCTATGGGAGGAGTTTTGTGCCATGGTTGACTTCCGTATCATGGGACTTTGATGGAAGTGTTTAGAACTAACAGGCTTTAGGTGGCTTTACATTCAGAGGCCACAACCTCAGAGAGTACGGAGGCATGGCAAGAAGCCCAAACGACAGACAATAAAAATGAGAGATTGAGTGTGAGGTTTAGAGGGATGAGTGAGGACTCTTGATTGGTGTTGGTCATGCTCTCTTCCATATGTACTTCCTGAGACTATTATGAAAGTTCTCAATCTTCCCTCATTCATTTGACTTTGTCATTACTCGAGTCAGTTGGTCTTGCTTCTTGTATTGTTCTTGCTTGATGGTTGCTTTCATAGATGATTCTGCCACAGTTCTCAAAATCAGATTGACATATTTGACGCATGCATAGCACTCCATAATTTTATGATTATTATTTGCATGATTCTCTGCTGTTCCGAATCAGAATAAAAAATTCCTAAGACCGGGGACCGGCGAAGACCGTAATTGAAGGGTCTCGCTTGAAGCCGGACGCACACAATGGGAAGGGAGTTGCATTATTTAATTTATTTTATTTATTGCAATCACATACAAAATCCTGCGTGATAGCATGTTGGCTTTCCGGTCGCCTGAAGAAGGCTGATTGGAAAAAGTGCGACACCGTCCCTTAGTAGCGCGTGGAGTGGACAACAACAAGGCCAGTGGAAAACACTGGCAGCAGACGTGTAGCTGTCAGCTGTCCTCGTCGCTCGATGGAAATGCACGGGCGCAGTGTTGGCAGGTTCTCCTCGCTCGCAGCCCTTGCTCGCACATATATATTGGCTTCTCACAAGATCGTCCGCATCGCGGCCATAGACCCATCGCCTTCTTCCTACCTTCACGGACGCCTACCCGCCGTCTCGCCATGCCTCCTTTTCCTCCGTCGTCTCCGCATCGCCATGTATCCACATGAAGGCATAGTGCGTGCAATTGTCTACCGTCCACAAAGACAATGCCACGGGCTAGCCTGTCGTGCGCACGATCGCGTCGACTTTCCATCCCGCCGCTTTCACTCAGACAACTCCAGGTTTAGCCTTCCGCAAGGACTTTCGATCGACCGCCGTCAACCTTTTCATCCCGCCGTGCCGCACAGACGTCGACAATGATCGCCTCCCTCCATTCCTCCTCTTGCGTCTCATGATCATCGTTTTCCTCGTTGCCGTCATCGTCGATCGATCGACGTCTACCAACAGCGTCACTCGCATTTTGCATGTTATTCTTTGGCGCCAGTTTGGAATGCGTCACGAAGGAGAACATCGCTAGAGGCAGTCGTTGACGTCCACGTCGCCAACCCAACAGCCGCATTTCACGAAGATCGCCACATCAGCGGCCGCGTGGAAGTCGAGCCTCGTTGATAAGCGATTGCGTCCAATCGCCAACGTGTTCACCGCCTTTTTGTGCAAGGTCCCACTTGCGGAGACGTCAGCAACGCGAGACTTCTCTTGTCGTTGTCGTCATCTTCAGCATGTCATCTCGCGGCGGTGGTCGTGGCAAGAAGAGGGACAGTAACGCAGGTGATGCATCGGCGCTGGAGAAGAGAGGACGACATGTCGCGAAGAAGAGGAAGGTTGTTGTGGGGGGGGGCTTCCATCGAAGGAGGCTTGAGGGGAGACGAGTGGGTGAGGGATCGAACAACCTTCGATGCCGACGACAAATTCGAGGAGGCGGAGGCGGTGGGCGCTGCGAGAAAAGTGTCGAAGCGCGCACAAGGCGGGGTCCGAATAGACAACGCGGGGGCGCAAGGAGTCATCGACGTGGTCGCCGTTGCTATGCCGACGGAGGGGGCTCAGACAGCACGTGTGGGGGGAAGTGCCACGAGAACACGTGTCGCTACACCACAAGAGGGGCAGCAGTCCGGATGGGGTCCTTCTACCCGCACCACCCCACGTGGACAGACACTTCCGGAGGGTGGGGAGGGTGTGAATGCAGAGGTGCAAGGGAGCGGCCAGGGAGTGCAACACGCACCCCTGGCGGGGTCTTCGAGAGCAGGGGTGCCTGCAACGCCTGGGTAAAGTTGTGGAGATGGCGACAACGACAAGTCTTTGGTGAACAGGAAGCGGCAAGGGCACGTACGAGAGGGGATCGACGCACAAACCAGGCTTTGGGTTGACGATTTGTGCTTCTTGAACGAGACATTGGGTAATGGCCTGTTTAAGTTGATCCAGGAGGCACGACTGCATTTGGTGGCCATCGCCAAGGGAGTCCCACCTCCCGACATCTGTCGGAGTATAGTAATTATCACAGTAGCATCCCCCGGCACAAAATCAACGACGAGTCGGAGCTGAAGGCGGCGAAGGACAGGGGGTTGAAAGTGCAGAGCATCGCCTTGCGCGTCATCCATGGGTAGATCTTCAAGTCCGCGAATCGGTTGCGGGGCTACCACGCTGCTTATGGATACGTGCCCAACCACGTGGGGACGGACATCGCTCGCGCCATGTGGTTTGGAGAAGACTGGCGCACGTGTGTCAGCCCCATGATTTTCTACAAAATGTTGGAGATGGACATGAGACTCCCTATTTGGTTCATCGCAGGCACATCGAGGACAGGCACGAGGACGACTAATTGGCATCGCATCAAGAGGCGAGCCTGCAGCGGCTTGTGGGGGCTTTCATGAGCGCCATCAATCTGGCGGAGGGGATCGATGGCGGCCGCGTCTCGTGAGAGGCTGAAAAAAGTGGCGGAGGCCATGAGGCTTCTACTTGCGGTGGCGATGTACCTCATGCGGATGAGCGGGGACGATCTGTGTTCGCATTTCGACGAGTCATTGTTCGTTTAGCCCATTGCGAAGCCCACACTGGTGGCCTCCATGCATCACTCCTTCGACGCTCGTCGGCATATCGTTCAAGAAATCACGGTCTTCATGGAGAGAATTGGCAAGCCCGCCATGACGTTGGTGAACCCTCCTGTCTACATCCCGGATTGGGCATCCTGCGGCATCACTTTCGAACATGATGCCACTCTGGCGTCGCCCATGCACACAAAAAAGATGGACCCGTTGGGTACAGGTCCCCCCGAGGACGAAGAAGATGAAGCGGTCACGACGGACAAAGTTGGAAGCGGGTAGTCATGTGAAGGTGGCGTGGTGAGACGACGACGGCAAATGGTTTGCGAGAGTGGACTAGGGTGGACGTGGAGGTTGTCGTCGCACAGGGGAAGGAAGATGGTTGTCGGTCGGTTCATCAAGTTGTGGTTGTGTGGGTGGTGCTTACACATTTTCTCTTTCGGCGTTCGTTAGCGGGGTGGGGGGACGCACCGACCTGCATTTGTCCTGTCTTAGCATCGCCTTTTGTGTAGGATGGGGTTTGACGGGGATGGACGCCATGTGTGATGGGGAAAATGTATGATGTGTGTTTTAGTACATGGTGCTAGGGTGGAAGGGGGGTTTTGTTGCACCATGCCTTACTTCAAAACTATGCATGTGCTGTTCGGTGTCGCGACAACAAACTTTGATTTCTGTTACTGGGCACTTGTCATCCAAATCCGAGTGCGATGGTTGCTCTTTGTGAATTGATGGCTGCCTTTCCACTGTTTTGCTTTGCCATGCACATATTCGAAGACGCCCTTTGTCATGCACGCCTGGGTGTTGATTGAGCATTGGTGCCTTTTGCTAAATTATTCGAAACGCCTTCCGCAAGAACGCAGCAGATACACCTTCACGAAAGGAAGCGAAAAAAAAAATACAAAAGAAAAAAATGGAAAACAATTATTAAACCACCACTACCTCCGAGCCTGGTTTTGCCGACCCTGAATTTCACTGCGCTCCGAGTTTTGCCGAGCCTGTGTACCACTCAGTTTTCTTTATGGTACTCTCACGGAAAGAACAAAAAAAATCAAAAAAGAAGAAGAAAAGTTTGCGGCCGTGAACCTCAAAAAAGACGGAAAAAAAAAAGGAAACAAAGCTTTGGCCGTGATTGCAGTTGTATACATTCTTGGAAGTGGTAGTGTCAGTGTGCCCTCAATGAGGGCATCTCAGCCCCGTGGCCAGGTTGTCAGATTCCAAAAAGAGAATAAAAGGGGGAAAAACGGGCACATGGATCCGACCGTGAAAATGGCTGGATACATTCCCCTAAGTGTCAGTGTGATGAGCCTTACAATCATCTGACAAAACACAGCTTGAGCAGATCACGGACAGCTTGAGCAATTCACGGACAGCGGACTCATAAGAAACACACGACCAACAAAAAAAAGAAAACAGTAACATTCAGAATGTGACCGCCTTACATCTAAGGTGCATTCTGTGGAGGAAGATTATGAGCACGGCCTCCTGGACTACCCAGCCCGACATCATTGCACTAGAGAAAGCATTTTTTTTTTTCCCTTTTCTGTTCACTCGCGGCAATATGAAATTCAGATTTATGGGACATTGTCGACCCTGCTGGGATCCCGGTTTCTTAGGGGACAGACCAGTAGATCGTATTTTCCCAACATTGGCGAAGTTACTAGTGGTTTAAGAAATTACAAGAAACTTGGAACAATACATTCATTGCATGTAACCCATTAGAAGAACACGAAAGACTAGCACACCATTCTCACACGAGAGCGGCCAACACAGCACGCCACGCCATCACAGAGATTGACACACGGCCGTAACCAAACGAAGGTCACACATTTCGTTGCGAGAAAACTGACAATCTCCGATAAACGAGCCCCGTTGATAAGACTTCATATCATAGAAATACGGAAATAACATTGACAATGACACGAACCAACAACTACAATGTTAGAATAGCATTCTGTGGACGGCGGCGACATCATTCTAATGATGGCAAAAAAAACAATTACAAAAAAATAAAACACCATATCTGACGCACACGTAACTGACCACTAGTACCCAGTTCTCAAAGGAATAACAGAAAACGCTCTGATAAATTGACATGGTGAACGACCTTCGCCCACCGTATGCCTCCACGTGGACGCAATGTTGACGAATATTGCAGGCCATGTCGGAACACCACGGGGGACGCACGTTGTAACGACGATTGTGTCTGCCCCGTATACCCGTTCGCATGTGTCAACTTCAATGTCGCCGTCATAACCACCCCATGGCTGATCGTCGTCACTGCCCACTCATCCGCTTCCCCGGTGCGTCCCTCATAATGAGCGCATCTCTCGTCGACGTCTCCATGCACACCGGCCTCAGGGGGCGTTGGATCCCAAGATCTGCGCGACGACACACCCCGTTTGCGTCCACCTCCCACAACAGATTGTCGTTAAAGGGGATGCCTGCGTCGATGAGTATGTTGTGTAGAATGCAGACAACGAGAAATTGTTGTGGCAACGTCTCCATGTTCGCCTTGTGCGACGACAGGAACAACTTCCACATCCCCCTCAGCTTGCCGAGAGCCCTCTCAACTGCCCCCCCTGCAGTCTTCTGCTTGTTGTCGAAGCACAACAATTACTCTGATGGGTGTTCACTACTGCAGCCATACGCAACCACTATCCATTCCGAGGGGGGGTAAGCATTGTCACCCAACAGATAATCGTTGGTTTGCACTTCAAAGGGGAGCATAACAAGCGGTCCCATGAAAAGCTCCCCCGCCTCGGCACGCGCCCGTAGACTGGATAGGTGGATGATCCTCACGTCGTGGCAGCTTCCTGGATAGCCGAGGAAGATGTCTAGTACATGCAAGTTCAGATCAACGACCAATTGCGCGACTACTGAGAAACGCCATTTCCTATCGTAGTCGTCCTCACCGGGGACATTCATCGGCTTATCAATGTAGATATGAGTGCAATCGATGCACCCATGGCAGTTCGGGAATGAAAGCATGTAGGACAACCGACTTCCGCACCCCCGTCGGCCATGAAATCGTCTCCCGGTACACTATCAGCAACGCCGCAGCTACGTCCCGCACCGCAACCAAGCCTAAAGATCTGCCGATGCCGAAGTTGCACATGCCGCTGTCAGGGCAAATACCCTGACAAGGGTATTTGCCGGGGTTTGTCAACGTCGGACGTCGTCCGACTTCTGCGTTGAATTGAAGGACTTGATGAGACCGACGTTTGCCAAAAGTTTATTCACACCTGACCTATGATTGACTGACTAAAAGTTTTCGAACGTTAGTCCGAACGTGTGCGGCGTCCAGGAGTAACGAATGTGTATGGTAATGCTTCGCTTTTGTCGAAGCCGCAGGAATATGCGGACGTGGGAACGGTAAAGCTAAACCTATTCTCCCTAAAATAGTGTCGTACGGCTGCTAAGCCGCGCGATTCAGGGCCTAAGGAGGCTAAAAAGAAGGGGTTTCTAGGGCCGCGGGGTTGAAAGGCCGATGCCAGGGTCACGCGGCCAACTGAGCATGCAGGGCCGCAAGCAGGCAAGGCCTACGAGGCCATAGGCGGGCAGGGCCTGCAAAGCCCCAGCATGGGCCATAGCAACTGGCAAGCTCTTCTTATAGAAGAGCTGCTCCTATCATTGTTGTGATAGGAGCTAGCCCAGTAGGATATAGTGTAGGACTCTTACCCAGCGGATACCGGGATCGAATCCGAGAAACTGCAACTACCGGGCTAGCTCCTTTTGGAGCAGCCCGTCCGTAAGGCAGACGAGCGCGACCGATTTCGGCTGCATGATCATCAAGATCACGCGGCGGAAATCCGCCGCGCCGAAATTTGCATAGCCCCTGCGGAAGGATGACACGCATAAATCGAGAAATGGTCAAAAAGAGAAAAAAAAAAAAAAACTTTAAATTCTTTCGAATCCATTAGGATTCAAACTCGGGTCTATGGTTTGAAAACGCGTGGCTGAAAAGCCACGTGGTGACCTACGATGTGACCGTTGGCATAAGCCAACGGGAAACTAAAACTAAAAGGAAAAAAAAAAAAACTAAAACTAAAACTAAAGATGAAGCGCCACATGGCGCACAACGAAGTGTCTGGGGCACTTCAGTCCCCAGTGAACTTGACTGCGCCTGTGAAAACGGGCGACCGTTTTGGAAGTAAGGTAAGTGTTTTTTTTTTTTGTTTTTTTTTTTCCTTTTTCTTTTTGATTTTCTTCTTTTAGATTTACTTTGGATTTCCTTTAGTTAGATTTTCTTATTAGATTC